ACACGGATGTAGTTTATCGTCTTACCCAGGACACGGATGTAGTTTATCGCTTTACACAGGACGCGGATGTAGTTTATCGTCTTACACAAGACACGGATGTAGTTTATCGTCTTACCCAGGACGCGGATGTAGTTTATCGTCTTTACAGACGGACGGATGGTTTATCGTCTTACACAGGACGCGGATGTAGTTTATCGTTTATCACAGTGTAGTTTATCGCCTGTTCAGGACGCGGATGTAGTTTATCGCTTTACATACGCGGATGTAGTTTATCGTCTTACCCAGGACACGGATGTAGTTTATCGCCTTACACAGGACGCGGATGTGGTTTATCGTTGGACGCGGATGTAGTTGCGTCTTACCCAGGACGCGGATGTGGTTTATCGTCTTACCCAGGACGCGGATGCTGGTTTATCGTCTTACATTATAATCAGGGGTTTACGCCTGAAGATGTATATATATATATTTGCATAGAATAGTTAGGACACTGCTTAGCCTTCAAAAAAAGGATGGCCTGTTGTATGAATTGATGCCTTGCAGATAAGCCTCTGGTGGACATATATATATATATATATATATATATATATATATATATATATATATATATCAGGTATGTTCATATATTTTGGTCTGTTCATATTCATTTATCTATCGAATATATATCTATATATATATATATATATATATATATATATATATATATATATATCAGTCGTTTATATATATTTTATTATATTTAAATTACGTATGTCTTTTATATATTTATATCCATTTATACAAAATTGGCCTCACATGATACACATACATACAGACATATATATATATATATATATATAGATATAAATTATATACATTAAAATCAATACAAAAATCAAAGAGATATATACAATTATATGTCCCTGTTAATTTATTAATGACTATGTCAATATCGGATGTTTCGTTCATATAAATTAATTTTATTTACATATTCATAAATTATAACATTATCAATACAAATTTTGCTGTTTTTTATGTCCAGTATATGGTTTTATTGTTGGCCCTGTCGGAAAACTATCCATGACGTTGACATATTAAATTAAAACATTATAATTGTATATATGATTGTTTTTTTCCGTATATATTTTATGTTCTGAATATATATCCATATCCATATTTTATAAGTTTATATATATATATATATATATATATATATATATATATATATATATATATATATATATATATATATATAGATGTTCATACACGAGATTTATTCATATCTATTTATATTATATATATCTATATATATATATAGATAGATATATATATATATATATAAGATAGATAGATGTTCTGGTAGATCTATATATCTATATATATATATATATATATATATATATATATATATATACCTCTGGTCAAAATCTAAGACCAGATACAAAAAGGGTTACAAAAAAAATTTTATTTCATTGTTTGTATCTCGCCAGCTTTTCAGGTCGCTTCATTCATATCCCGTTGCAGACGATATTTTTCTTTCGTTTATTATTATTATTATTATTATTATTATTATCAACAAACAAGTGAAAATGTTAAGATTTTCATTGATTAATTTAAACAAACATTGAAAAAAGGACTTTTTTGGTTGGTCATAAAGATAAGACCATGTAAATAAAAATTGCAAATACAGAACAAATAAGTAACAACGACAATTTAATTCTCAGCATATCCTCCATTTTGGTAAATTACTTCAAAAATTTGCTTTGGCATCCTCATTATTAACTTCTGCATAAGGGTGCTTGGGATGCTTGCCCAGGATGCATAAACTGCAGCACGAAGAGCATCGACAGTTTCAAATTGCGATCCATGTTTATTATTCCTTTACCATCCATCCTCAAACATTCTCGATTGGGTTTCGATCTTGAGTGCGTTGTGGATTGCAGCATTGTCCTGCTGGAAAATCTAGTTTTCTCCACATATATTAGGGTCTTCAGTAATTAGTGATGCCTTTTTTAACATGTCACTGTAAATAGCAGCTGTTTGATGACCTTTTACCTCATGTAACTGAAGAGGTCCATTTTACGAAAATGAACCCCATTCACTGTGTCGTGTTGAGAAAAATACATTTTTTTTTATTTTCCCAACACAGTCAGCAATGTTCATAGTTGATGTTACTGAGTGGTGAATTCTTTTTATTAATAAGGCTTTCAAAATTTTATCCATTTTTTTACAATAATTTTTTGAAATCATCGACGGTAGCAGATGCAGTGTTAACGTGAGTTAACATACAAGCCCGCATCTCCGAACATTAGACAGACCCAGCTGGGATAACGCTTTAAATTTCGAATTACACAGGAACAAAACTGGTCATAACTTTGATTTTATAAATGCTACCCTAATTAAAAAAGAACATAATTCTTTACACAGGGAATACTTCGAGGGAATTTTGATAAATATTTCAATTTCTATATAACACATCAAAGACACTTTATTACATCAACAACTTTTATAAAAATCCATACTTAAAGAATCTTAGCTATCTCTCTCTACTACAACTACAACCGGTGTAGCGGAAATTCTTTGACCCCAAATTTCAACTGTCTTTCTGAATCTAAGCATAAGTGTATTTTTGTTTACACCATTCTTAAAACTTAAACGTTGTTCATATATTTAATCTATTGTTTTATCAGCATCCTTCTATAGAACTAAAATATACCAAATAACTATGGGAAAAATATTGTTTAGTTAGTGGTGTAAAATCTCTGTTAATATCTTAGTTTGTTTTGACTGTATATATAAGTTACTTGTCATAACGTGTCCGGAAAGGCTACGTTCTCGTGTATATGACGAACGTCTAAAGGTTCAGTTTAAGCATCTGGGAGAAAGTGTGTATTATAGCAAAATTTACAGAACCTTTCTTATACTTAAATCAAATAGCTAGAGATTATTCAGCAATACGGAAGAGCAGTTTCGTTTTGGAGGCGTCAAAATTAGCAAGCCATTTCTTGCCCCAGTTAACAATATGAAGGTCGTTTTTTTAGATCAGTTGCTAATTTGATCCTATCGAAACGGTCAAACCTGCTATTACGACAAGAATAAATGGTTATGAAAACTTACTCGCACCGTCCAGGGAATTCTCAGTATCCTTCTGTAGAACATTTCTGCTGTTCTAGTTTTTTCCTCATTAATGGGAAAATTTTTCGGCATTCAACATCATATAAGATGATGAAAGTCATTTCTTTACTTCTAACAATTTTTTTCGTTTCTAGAGCATTTTGCTTTACCTTTTGAGATGTCTGTTTCACTAGTCTTATGCATACTTCGGATTTCGGTGTCACATATTGTCTTCTCTGTTAAAATACTTCACAGATATTTGAACTTCTGCACCAGGCGTTAAAATTAACAAGCCATTTCTTGCCCCAGTTAACAATATGAAGGTTGTTTTTTTAGATCAGTTGCTAATTTGATTCTATCGAAACTGTCAAACTTGCTGTTATGACAAGAATAAATGGTTATGAAAACTTACTTGCACGGTTCATGGTATTCTCAGTATCCTTCTGTAGAACAGCATTTCTGCTGCTTCTTGTTTTTTCCTCATCCATGGGAGGATTTTTCGGCAGTCAACATCATATAAGATGATAAAAGGCATTTCTTTATTTCTAATAATTTTTTCGTTTCTCAGCATTTTGCTTTACCTTTTGAGATGTCTATTTCGCAAGTCCAATGCATACTTCAGATTTCGGTGTCACATATTTATCCTCTGTTAAAACACTTCATAGATATTTGAACTTCTGCAACAGGCGTTAAAATTAGCAAGCCATTTCTTGCCCCAGTTAACAGAATGAAGGTAGATTTTTAGATCAGTTGCTAATTTGATCCTATCGAAACGGTCAAACCTGCTGTTAAAACAAGAATAAATGGTTATGAAAACTTACTTGCACGGTTCATGGTATTCTCAGTATCCTTCTGTAGAACAACATTTCTGCTGCTTCTAGTTTTTCCTCATCCATGGGAAGATTGTTCGGCATTCAATATCATATAAGATTGCTTTTTTTTTTCGTTTCTCAGCATTTTGCCTTAGTTTTGAGATGTCTCTTTCGCTAGTCCAATGCATACTTCGGCTTTCGGTGTCACATTTTGTATCCTCGGTTAAAACACTTCATAGATATTTGAACTTCTGCGCCTGCTTGATGTTGACATCTCCAATTCGTAACTCGCATCTAGGGCTTTTTCTCTTGCTAACGACCATACCTGACGTCTTCTTGTAGTAGATGGTTAGTTCTTTTGGGGTTTTTTTCTTTTCAAATTCCAAAGGAAAAACATAATACTAATAGTGAGTGACCAAACGAATAAAAATGAATGAGCATTTCTTAAAAAAAAAAAATGAGTATTTTTATGAATTACTTCATTTAGTTTTTTTTTTTTTTTTTTGGGTTGGGGTCTGGAAATATTTCAGATATTTCCAGATCCGTGGTTACTTGAATCCGGAGATGTGGAAAGCCAACTCGTTTCATGAAAATCGCTTCATCTCACTAGAACGAACGAATTGACTCAGATATACACCTTTTCTTTTCTTTTTTTTTATATTCGTTTTTATTATTTTCTTTTTCATATCACTTACGATGAGTGAGTTTGTTTTGCTAAGTAAAAGAGATTGTGCCGATCACGAGAACAAATAGATAGGTAAGCATATTTCTAAGATGAATTGTTTGTTACTGTGAGACAAAAAGCCGGGTAAAAATCTTCCACGGGTTGGTGGAGGCTTGGCTCGCTGAAGTTAAAACAATTTTTCTTCATTTTCACTCATCAGACGAGAATCCTTCACCGTCCATTCCGATCGCTTTTGTTAGTCTTTTTTGATTCTGTCGCGCGAATGTAAATATTTACAAAACGTCTTCTGATGAAGATCTCTCGTCCCGTATTTACTTACATTTATCTCTGTGACGCATGCGCAGATTTTGATGTAAGTAAATACCATTTCCACTGGGCTGATTCCGTTACCATGGAAACTAGACGCTGGGAGAATGGACCATTTCTTCAGATCTGCACTCCGAAGTAACATGCATGATGATTTCAGCGTACCAAAATAACTCCATAAATAAAAGATATGAAAAAAAAAAAAAAAATAAAAATTGTAATATTTGTTTATCATAGTCTAATCTAGTACAAGACAAAAGCAGTAACTTAAATTAACTTGTTAACCATCACTCCCTACAAGTTTTTTTTTTTTTAATCAATTCGCTCTATGTAAGGCAATAATGCCACTAAGACGCAAGGGGGGTGCTATTTGGAGTGAAAGTGAATGAAAAGATTTGAAAAGGAAATAGAATCCCGACCCTAAACAGGGAATAGCGATAAACATCAACTCATGTTCAAAAGACCGGTGAGGAGTGTGAACAGGACGATAGGCGAAACTATCTACTCCTGTTGGGGAGGGAAAAGATCTGACGGAGATGTTAGAAGTATAGATTTCAAGTAGAAAAAAAAAAACCGGGGAGAAGCCTGAACAGGGCAATAGTCGAACATAGAGAGTAATATCGGAAGTCTATCGGACTTGCAAGATATTGAATGTTCCATAAGTTATTCCATACATTAGAGAGAAGTCGTAGATTCGTTCATGAATCTATTTCCAAATTTTCCCGGATTCTGCTGGGGGTGGGGTCGATTTGAAATCTCATTATCATCAGCCAACACTCGACTGGCCTTCAAAGGTGAGTTCTATGCAAAAAGCTTCATCAATCCTAGTCAATCCTTCGTTCTTTGGCCGTTAGGACTGTCGAGTTCGTCGCCGCCGTCAAGGAGACAGTGTACTATGATGGAAGCCAGAGCTACGCGAAGATCAGCAACAGGAAGAACGACAGGTGTATCTGCAATGATATCGAGGAGGTTCCCGTCGTGAAACATACGAAGTTTCCCTCCTCCGTCATGGTCCCTGGTGTCATCTCCAGCGAGGAGGTCATTATACCTCCGTTCTTCTTTTAAAAGAGCCTGAAAGTCACCGTAGAGATCTACCAGGAGGTGCTAAGGAGCGTGGTGAAGCCCTGGATGGACAAGATCACGGCCGGACGCCCCTACGTCTTTCAGCAGGACTCCGCTCCTGCACACAAGGCCAAGACGACCCAGGCGTGGCTGCTCAACAATGTTGCTCACCACTGGTCGCCGGACTTGTGGACGCCCTCCTCACCTGACTTCAACCCCTCGACTATTTCTTCTGGGGCGTGATTGAGGCCAAGACCAACAAGCACGACCACAACACGATCAATCATTTTTTAATAAATAGTCACGAATATATTCCCATTTATGCATATAGTATTTAGATAGATAAAGAACAAACTGAAACCGATATATATAGATAATATTAGTGGAAAATATACATACATATGCAAAATATATAAATACCCATACATGTATATTTTTAGAAAAAAAAATTCCAAGAAGAAGAATCCAGGTAGAACTCAATGTCTAGGACAGAGTAAAGATATAAGGATATAATGTTTATATTTGATTTGTAACCTGTAGTCGATATTAAATTTGTCAAATTTTCTCAATTACAAAGCGGCCCTTTAAGTAAACGCATTTTTACTTTCCTTCGTCCCATCTCTCTCCCCCACCTCGTCTTTCCCTCCCTCTTATTCTAACATTAGATTGTCTATGGTGTGTGTATGTCACCACGAAATGTATCTTTATGCATTAAACATCCGTCAACATTCATTTTTTTCTCTTAATTAAACCCCTTCCATCCATCTCTCCTAAAATTCCTAAAAATTCTCTGTTAAGGTTTAATCTCCATCCTCCTCATACTTAAAATTTCTCTAAATTCTGTTTTTATTTCTGGGATATATGTGTGTGTGTGTGTGTGTGTGTGTGTGTGTGTGTTTATGTGTGATAGAAATTATTATGATTTGAGATAATCATAATTAAGTAATTCATCGAACCTAGAAGAAGCCTCAACAGAATGTAGAAACCACTGGACGGCCGTTTCGTTCGATATTTAGGACTCATTAGCAGTGAGCATCTATAACCGAGAATTGAAACCCGGACAGTTACGATAGGAGGCAAACGTCATACCAACTGTTCCAACGGTTCTCGTAAAGAGGTAACGAATTAGACTCTATATAGCGCCGCTCGATCACATATTCCGTGGTGGAACTCATACGAGTTTCCCTTACCCATAGGACTGTGCCCCCACGAGCCACGACTACTATCCCCAGGCCGCTCCACTCAGAACATTAGAAGCCGGTTCAAGCAAGATATACAAGTGATAGAAATTAGGAGGAGGATTTGAGTAATTAATTAAGTAATTCATCGAGTCCAGAAGAAACCTCAACAGAATGAAGAAAGCACTGGACGGCCGTTTCGTCTATATTTGGGACTCATCAGCAGTGCATCCACCTGGACCGTTACGATATGACTCAAGCGTCATACCAATTGTACCAATTGACCTTGGTGACGAAGATGTAACGAATTAGACTCGATATTTGCGATAATTTTCAATGGTCCCCCTAATGTTTTCCAATTAGTGTTTTAGCGCCTTTTTTTTCAGGTGAAAAACACATTGGAAATTCTTTCAAAAAACAAATATTTATCGGATTTTAATGAAACCTTTAGGATTTATTCACAAATGAATGAAATTATTTTGGATTTTTTTTTTTTTAAATCTTGATAAGTATTTTTAGTCTGTTAACTCCCATTTACTTAATTTCATAAAATTTCGAGAAATTAAATTTTCTCTAGAAAAGTTTTTTTTTATTAGTTAAAAGCAGGACTGCTTGGAGAATGTAAACTTTTTTTTTCAAATTAATACTCATTTCCTGAAAATCTGCTCCGAATCGTAAAATAAAAGTTCAATAAAATTATGACATTATTTAATTAGATATGCTTTTAATTGCTTTTAGAATTAACATTTATTAAGGACATTAATTTCTTAAACAATTTTTCCATGAAGTTTTACAAGAGTTCTCTTCATTTTTTTTTAATTTTTAATTATAATAAATTTGTAATATATAACTCCTTTAAAATTCTGTTTTACTTTACATAGGTTAGGTGATATTGTTATTAAGTGAAAATTATATTTACGAATTAAAAATTGAACAGCATAATAAAAGTCGTTTTGCACTAATTTTTTTCAAATATCTTCCATTTTTTTTATGCACATAAAATATTACGCAACTACCCCTGTTTGAAAGTATGGTCGTCCATAGACGATATAATCAGAAAATAAGAACGATGACTATAGCAAAGTTAAAGTCAACATTCCGTAAATTATATTACGGAGAATATTTTCCGACATTTTTAAGATTACTGAGTACTTAAAAATTATATAAAAAATGCCGCCCAGTTGTTATTTTCTTGAATTATATTTTAACAAATAAAGTCTCCCTAGAAGAAAAATAAACCTTTCAACGCCTTTATTGGCATTTGTTATGTTATTGACAAACGGTGACAAGCACTTTATCACCATTACTGTTTGTTTTAAAAAATCTATTTCTCTCTTATTTTCAACTTAAAGTAAATAATATTTGTTTCAAATCAGATTAATTATACAGCTAATATTCCTTAAATAAAGTTTCAGAAAAGTATTTTATTTTTGGAAGATTTTTAAAACCGTGAATTAACTTTTGTTTACCGATGTGACAAAATGGGTAAAAAACGGCTGATTTTAAATAATTTACTGAAAGCAACCAAAAGATTCCAATCACTATAATTTCTATTTGAAATAAACCAGAATAAATTGCTTACTTGAAATACTAAATTTAATCATTTAGCTTTCTATTAAAGATAAAAACGAAAGTTTCAAGAATGATTTTTCATTTTTAAAAGTTCATTTTAAACCTTAGGTATCACGAATTAGTGGAAATATCTACAGTGAAGTATCTAGATCTTTATTTACGTCGCTTTTTGTAGCTGTATTTCTGAATTTGTTGACGCAATTCTGTTTAGCGCTCGTTAAATAATTGGTGAGATTGGGTAAATACTTCAACTCGAGGTTTTATTCTTTTTTCTTTCCGGAAGAAAAAAAAAACAACACTTTCTTTCATATCTTTGATTTAAGAGTGATGGTTTTGTTTGCGTGTCTGGGTCGATCTGACACTTTGATGTTAATAAAAAGACAACAGACAAATTAATACAATCGACATCTCTGCAATGTATTGCTTTTATTCCTTCTTGGTTTCAGTTTTAACTTTTCTTTGCTTTCCATCCTAAGTGAGTTTTTATTTTCTTTCTTTAAGTTTCTTCCTTTTCTTTAAGTTTCATTTTTCTTTCTTTTAACTTTCTTTCTTGGATTCTTTAAAACCTTTCATTTTTCTTTAATGTTTTCTTTGGGGCCTATGAGAATTCTTCATTTTTCATTCAGATATTTCTTTAATTTTTTCTTTTTTTTTCTTTCTTTTTTTTTTCTTTTTCTTTAGCTTTGAGGCTTTCTATGAGGCATTCTTTAAGGCTTTCATTTTTCTTTCTTTAAGGTTTTTCTTTCTTTCCTTTTCTTTCTTTAAGGTTTCTTTCCTTTTTCTTTCTTTCTTTTCTTTTAGGTTTTTCTTTGAGGCTTTCTTTCTTTTTTCTTTTCTTTCTTTAAGGTTTTTTTCTTTAGGCTTTCTTTTTCTTTAAGCTTTCATTTTTTCTTTCTTTTTTTTCTTTCTTTAAAGCCTTTCATTTTTTCTTTCTTTAAGTTTTTTTTTTCTTTCTATGAGGCATTCTTTTCATTTTCTTTTCTTTTTTTTTTCATTTTCTTTCTTTAAGGGGTTTTTTTTGAGGCTTTCTTAGAAGGCATTCTTTAAGCCTTTCATTTTTCTTTCTTTAAGGTTTTCTTTCTTTCTTTCTTTTTCATTTTCTTTCTTTTTTTTCTTTTTTCTATGAGGCATTCTTTAAGGCTTTCATTTTTCTTTCTTTAAGGTTTTCTTTGAGGCTTTTTTAAAGGGTTTTCTTTGGGGCTTTCTGCTGAAAAAGCCTTTCTTTTCTTTTCTTTGAGGCTTTCTATGAGGCATTCTTTAAGCCTTTCATTTTTCTTTCTTTAAGGTTTTCTTTGAGGCTTTCCTTTTTCTTTTCTTTCTTTAAAGTTTTCTTTGGGGAAACTTTCTGCTTTCTTTAAGGCTTTCATTTTTTCTTTCTTTTTTCTTTCTTTTTTCTTTGAGGCTTTCTATATTCTTTAAGGCTTTTTTCTTTAACTTTCTATGATTTTTTTTTTTTCTTTCTTCTTTCTTTCTTTCTTTTTTTTCTTTTCTTTCTTTCTTTCTTTCTTTCCTTCTTTTTTCTTTCTTTCTTCAAAAGTTTTTTAAAACTCTTTTTTCTTTCTTTAGGTTTCTTTCTTTCTTTTTCTTTAAAGGCTTTCCTTTTTCTTTTTTCTTTTTCCTTTTCTTTCTTTCTTTCTTTCTTTTCTTTCTTTTTCCTTTTTCTTTCTTTGGAAGCTTTCTTTTTTTTTTTCTTTCTTGAAGGCTTTGATCTTTCTTTCTTTTAAGGTTTTCTTTTCTTTTCTTTCTTTCTTTCTGTTTCTTTCTTTTTCTTTCTTTCTTTCTTTAAGGCATTCCTTTTCTTTCTTTCCTTCATCTTTTTCTTTCTTTAGCTTTCTTTAAGGCTTTGATTTTTCCTTTCTTCTTTCTTTGGGGCTTTTTTTTTTCTTTTCATTTTCTTTCTTTCTTTATTCTTTCTTTCTTTTTTCTTTTTTTCCTTTCTTTTTTTATCCTTTTTTGTTCTTTCTTTGTTTCTTTCTTTTCTTTCTTTTTTATCTTTCCTTTTGTTCGTTTCTTTTTCTAATTTTTCCTTTTCTTTTTTTCTTTTTCTTCTTTTCTCTTTCTTTCTTTTCCTTCTTTCTTTTCTTTTTTTTTCCTTTTTCTTTTTTTTTCGTTATTTCTTTCGTTCTTTCTTTTTCTTTCTTTTGTTTCGTTTCTTCTTTTTTCTTTTTTCTTTTTTGTTTTGTTTCTTTCTTTCTTCTTTCTTTCTATTCTTTTTTTCTTTTTCTTTTTTTCTTGTTTCTTTCTTTCTGTTCTTTCTTTTTCTTATTTTTTGTTTGTTTCTTTCTTTCTATCTTTTCTACTTTTTCTTCTTTTGTTTCTATCTTTGTTTCATATTTTATATCTCTTTATTGAATTCATTCACTGACAAACACTTTGTTTTTCATATTCTCGTTTTAAATTTCTTTTTCCTTTCCTTCTATATTTTTTCTCAAACTCATTCATTTCAGATTTTCATTTTGGTTTTATTTTTTATTTTTTTCAGATTTTTCTTTCATTTTTTTTTTCATAAACTCTTTATTTATGGTTTTTCTGCTGTTTTATTCTATGTAAATTTACGCCTTTCGTTTTTTTTGTCTTCTATATTATTTAGGGAATTCATTTCTTCATGAATTCTTTCCTTTTATAATTTTCTTTTTCATCTTTCTCTTTCTTTCCTTGTTTTTTTCCTTTATTTTTTTGTTTCAGTCTTTCTTTTTCTATTGCTATTTTATATTACCGCCAGAGTCTTTCAATTATATTCAATTTTTCCATACTTTACATTTCATTCTTCCTTTCTTTCTTGTTTTAGTTATTTGTTATTTGTTTCTTTTTTCTTTCTTTGTTTTTTCTTCTTTCTTTCTTTCTTTCTTTCTTTCTTTCTTTCTTTCTTTCTTTCTTTATTTATTTCTCTCTTGTTCGTTCTTTCTTTTCTTTTTTTTCTTTCTTTCATTATTCTTATTTGTTCTTTTTTTCTTATTTGTTCTTTTTTCTTATCCTTTTTTTGTTTCTTCTTTCTTTTTCTTTTTTTCTTCTTAATTTCATTGTTTTTCATTCTTTTCTTCTCCTCTTTCTTTCTTTTTCTTCTTTCTTTTTCTTTCCTTCTTCTTACTTTCTTTTTTCTTTCTTGTTTCCTATTCCGCCTTCGTTCATTCTTTAACTCTTTCTATAATCTTCCCTTCTTTCTTTCTTTTCTTTTTTTCCTGTTTTTATCAAATTTTTTTTCCAATTTTTCCTATTTTCTTCTTTTTCTTTCTTTCAATTACATTAACTATTTCTATAAATATTTTAATTCTTTCAATTTCTTTTTTCCGTTTATTTTGCTTTTTTTCTGCATTTTCTTTCTTTCTTTTCATTTTTTTTGGTTCTTTTCTTCTTTTCCTTTTCTTTTTTTCTTCTTTCATTTTCCTTCTCTTTTTTCTTTTTTCTTCTTTTTCTTTCCTTTTTCATTTCTTTTCGTTTTTTTTTCTCTTCTTTCATTTTCCTTTTAATTTTCTTTTCATTTTCTTTTTTTTCCGTTTATTTTTTTTCCTTCTCTTTTTTTTCTCTTCTATCATTTTTTCTTTCTTTTCTTTTTTTCATTTTTTTCTCTTTCTTTCTTTTCTTTTCTTTTTTTTCTTTCTCTTCTTTCATTTTCTTTCTTTTTCTTTCTCTTCTTTCATTTTCCTTCTCTTTTTCTTTCTCTTCTATCATTTTCCTTCTCTTTCTTTCTCTTCTTTTATTTTCTTTCTTTTTCTTTTTCCTTCTCTTTTTTTCTTTTCTTTTCTTCTATCATTTTCTTCTCTTTCTTTCTCTTCTTTCATTTCTTTTTTTTTTCTTTCTTTCATTTTCCTTCTCTTTTTTTTTCTCTTCTTTCATTTTCCTTCTCTTTCTTTCTTTTTTTCTTTCTTTCCTTTCTTTTTTTCTTCTCTTCTCTTTTCTTCTTCTTTTATTTTCTTTCTTTTTCTTTCTCTTTTTTCATTTTGCTTCTTTTTTCTTCTTTCATTTTCTTTCTTTGCTTTCTTCTGTTTTCATTTTCTTTCTTTTCCTCCTTCTTTTATTTTCTTTCTTTTTCTCTCTCTTTTTTTTCTTTCTCTTCTTTTATTCCTATCTTTCCTTGTTTCTTTGCCTTTCTATTGTTTTTCCTTCGCAGACTTTGTATTGTTTCGTCAGTACGACTACGGCAGCCATTTTCCCTTCGAAGCTTTCTATTTAATTCAACATGAAAAAAAGTCTTCGGTTTGAAACAAAATCTTCGTTTTATGCAGCCGGAATAAAGAAAAGGGGAGAGAAAAAAGGTGGGGGAAGAAGAAATTAGTCAAGAAGAGATGCAGACTAGAAACAGGCGTTGAAGAAATAAGAAAGATAAATAGAATTGTAGCTTTCGGGAGAAAAGATAAATTATTGTATGATTAAATTCAATTACACTTAAAAAGAATTCAAAATAAAACAACAATATTCGCATTTAATTTTTGGATGTGTTTCTAACAAACAATTCGATAAGTTGAAGTCCTTTAATCCGGCCTTTTTTTAAATCCGGCCAAACTTGGATCAAAACGTTTTATTCCAATTTAATAACTTTTCTATCAGATAAGTAGAAACACTGAAGTCCTTTAGTCCGGTTTTTTTTAATCCGGCCAAACCTTGATCAAAATGTTTTATTCCTGTTTCCTATGTGTTAAAATCAATCCATTCTACAGGTACAAGTCTTGTAGTCCTGCCCTTTATCGGATCAAAATCTTTTATCACCATTTACTATTTGTTTCTATAAAACCATTTTACAGATACAAGCCATATAGAATCTGCCTGTTCAGTTCTTGCAGTCCGATATTCGCTTAATCCGACATTTGATCAAAGTCTTATTTTTCCTATTTCGTATTTTGTTTTTCGGAATTAACACCCCCGCCACATCCTGTTCATAGCTCACTCAATCAGAACTGAAGAAAATGAAATTGTTTAACGAGATCAAAACTCATTAAACATTTCACAGCGACATTTTCCCCGTCTTCCACGCAAGTTAACTACCGCAGATCGATACGACGTTTAGATTTTTTCAACAATGGACGCATTTCATTTTGGGAATAAAAGAACCTCTAATCTCAATTGTCACAGGTTATTTTTCAGGAAATATTTGTTTTTCTTCTTTCGGCGTTTCTTGGGTAAAGAGAAATGGAAAATCTTACCAAAAATAAGCGTAAGATTGGCGGGAAAACGAAGAAATGGAAAAAGTAAACAGTGAAATTAAAGCAAAGAAAGTAAAATAAAGAAAATGTGAAAAAACGAAAGAGAAAGGAACCTATGAAAAAAAAAGAAAGAAAAACCTAAGAAAAGAAAGGAGAAAAGAAAGAATGGGTAAACAAAAGAAAGAAAAAACGAAAGAGCCGTTATCCACCGTGATATCTATCTATCTATCTATCTATCTATCTATCACGGTATCTATCTATCTATCTATCTATTCATATCTGTCTATCCTATTCTTTTCGTATCTATCTATCTATCTATCTATCTATCTATCTATGTCTTTCCCTATCTATCTATCTATTTAAACTCTCACTACTCTTTCACTCACTCTCTCTCTCTCCATATATATATATATATATATATATATATATATATAGTGTCATCACAGACAGTCTGTTTCCTTATATCCCAGCTCATCAGTGTGGCTAGACATCCGGTTGCCTCTAGCTAGGATCGAAACCCGATTGAATTGGCGTCAGTTGGGGATTCTGCCACTAAGCCGTTAAGCACGGCAGGGATGAAGGTGAATTTAAGTGTATTTATTTTTAGATAAACATACAGTGACCGAGAGAACTCAATTCGTTTTACCAAAGAGTTACATTATTAGCCGTAATAGTCATTGTTTACAAACCCACACTTCCTCCCAAGAGACCTCAACCGAAATAATTTTTTTCAGGAGCATATATTGTTTTGTATATATATATATATATATATATATATATATATATATATATATATATATATATAAAGCAATAAAGATGGAATCAACAGATAAATATATATATATATATATATATATATATATATATATATATATATATATATACATAGGCAGATAAATATGAACCAGGTCAGATATATAAATAGATAGCAAGATAGATAGATAGATAGATAGATAGATGAATGAATGATAGATAGATAGATAGATAGAAATTGTGCCGACTGGGGGTCGCTAAAATCCAAACATTAGGAATGCAACGCTTCAAAACGATGGGTGCGTTTTTACCAAAATAACATATACCTATATCATTCCCAGTTTTCACACTTCATCATTTGAACTGACACATCCAGTTTACGTTTCGACCAGAAATACATGAAAACGTGACAAATGAACTCACACGGAGGAGAATCGCCTTCGATGACAATTCCCAGTCCTATGTAAACCATTCTTATTATGAAGACCTCTTGTATTTTGTCAGAATTTACATTCTTCAGAGACGAAGTGTGCCGCTGAGACATTTTCTTAAGTAATTGCCATTTTTCTTTTAAAAACTTGAAGCATGGAATATTTCTTGGATTACCAGAAGATTACATGCATAAACTTGCATTTAGTGGACATTGTTGACGTTGTAAAAATATCACAAATTTTAGAAATATTGCGTTAAAGGAACTCTGAAAACTGGCTCTGTGGATACAAAAACCTTTAGAGAATTGTTAAACTATATATATATATACGCACCCAAAAAATTAAATTTGGTTGGGCACTCTTGGAAGATAAGTGCGAATTTGTAAACAATGACTATTACTACTAATATTGCAAGCCTCTTCCCTCAATTGAGTTCTCGCAGCCAATGGCGTGTTTATTCACAGAATAAGTACGTAAAAATGCCGATGGCATGGTGGAAATTTTTCGACTGTTGCCGAATCAGTCGTGTTTCGATCCAAGCTTGAAACAATCGGATGTCTAGCCACTGATGAGCTGTGATACAGCGAACTCTCTGTATATATATATATATATATATATATATATATATATATATATATATATATATATATATAATGAAAAGGAGGTAATGGATATCGGCTTGGATTGTGGCATCGCAGAGCCGAGTTCGAACCCAGGTTGATCCCATTACATTCACTTACGGGCTAATACCCTTGGGAAAGGCGTGAATCCTCTTCTTCTCCCTCCAGCTATGGGTTAAATAGCAGGACAGAGTGGGTTTTATAGCCTTGGGTGGCAACTGGTCTAGGAGAAGGACAACTCTGAATTCAAAACTTGCGGGGGGTCGTTTGGGGACTCTGTGGCACGCAGTACACCAGGTCTCTGTATTCGGCCCTTAAAAAATGTGGATGGTCCTGCACGAAACCTTCACCACTATAATCGAATCTCATGTGCCGGTGTCGGGCTGTCAGCTTCCTGGAAAGTTATCTGCTTGACCCTCATACGTAGAACCCGACGGGAGATTCGATATATATATATATATATATATATATATATATATATACGCACCCAAAAACTTAAATTTTGGTTGTGCAATCTTGAAGATAAGTACGAATTTGTAAACAATGACTATTACTACTAATATTACAAGGCTCTCCCCCTTTCCTTCAATTGACACTTTTTCAAAAATTCATTGCTCGCAATATTTTTTAACAAAAATGCATTGCTGGTACTAAGCTTTTGACCCCAGTTTGGGGTTAACTATTTGCCCATATCTGGGAACATAACATGTGCTACCATCCAGAGTCAGGATGGACCTGGGAACACCAGCATTACTTTTTTATATTAATAATAATAGTGTACGTCAAAATAGACATTATACTATTGTAACCAAATGCATAAGAATTACAAACATGATGAAACAACACTCAAAAACATAATAGGTAGAAATATATATATATATATATATATATATATATATATATATATTATCTTTCTAAAACGATTGACCTTATAATCTCTAATAACCATAGAGGAACCCTTAGATCAAGGAACAGCGTAATAAAAATATCCAAATAGTGGACAATTTTTGTTTTTATTTTTTTTCCGGAATTAAAGCCACTATACGAAGCTTAGAACGGCTCCTGATCAAACATAATAAACATTCGTTGTCTATTATATTTAACAATGTATGTTTAAATAATGATCTGCTGCCCTAATATACTAAATATATGGATATGTATACATATGTAAATCAAGATAGGTTAATGTTGTAG